TCCAAACCTCGAGTCTCCCCTGATTTCTGCTCTCCTGATGCAGCAGTGTGCTGAGCACAGGGCCTGGCACACAGTAAGAGCTCAATAACTGTCCAAACAAACAGAGCCAGGCTTGGTAAGCTTGGCCTCAACTCTGCACGGACATCTGGGTCTCCACAGACATTGGGGTCTCCGTGAGCGGCCGGTTATTTGAAAGATCAAAGGCGTGGTGACCTTGACTAGGATACAGGCCATGAGGTATGATCGTTCAGGAAAGGGTAGAATTTGTTTTTTTTTCAATCCTCAAGTGGAAGGGGAAGAGAGAAAGAGACACGCATCGATTAGTTGCCTCCCACACGCGCCCCGGCCAGGGCCAGGGATCGAACCTGAAACCCAGGCCCGTGCCCTTGACCGGGAATTGAACCCGAGACCCTTTGGTGCTCAGGCCGAGGCTCTAATCCCCGAGCCCCGCCGTCCGGGGCTCGTTCACGTATTTAGAAAACACAGGTTCCCGCCCCAAACACCTGCTTGGCTCTGTGTCTGTTTCGCGACCGCAGGTGTCCTCGCCGCCCTGGACGCCCGCGCAGTGACCCGCGGCTGATTCGCGGCCATCGGGCACCCCCGTCCCGCCCGGCCCCGCGGCGCCCCTCACCTGAGAGTGAAGCGGTCGGCCCCGGAGCCGCTGGTCAGCGAGACCACGAAGGTGGCCGTGTCTCCTTCCCGGACGAGATTCAGAGGCACGGAGATGACGACGTTGGGGTCCAGGCTGAGCAGGGACCACTTGAGGTCGTCCTGCGTCGGGTAGACCACCACACTGCCGATGCGCTCGCGGGCGGGCGCGGGGGGCGGGGGCCCCTCCGGGCCCGCGTGGATGTTGTTGGCCCACTTGCCGTCCTCCGGGGGACACTGGCCGGCCGAGTCCGCCGGGTGCAGCGTGAAGAACAGCTCCATGGCCGTGCCCCCCAGCATCGCCGGCACCTCCTCCTCGGGCTCCAGGTCCAGCCCGGAGCTGAACCACTCGGGCAGCAGCTCCAGCTCGGCCACGCACAGCCCCGGGGCCCCTCGCAGGCGGCAGCTGGCCGCCACCTCCCTGGCCTCCGGGAAGGCAAACATCCTGACGCAGGGCAGGTCTTCGGGGGGCTCGCTGTCCCCCCAGTCCATGCCGGTGACGTAAAACAGCGTCTGCACCTTGGGGCGGTTGGAGTAGATGGAGCTGTCGAGGATGTGGGACCTCAGCTTCCAGTTGAAGGGGAACTTGTCCGTGTCCGCGAAGGCCGCGGAGGTCAGCAGCAGCTCCCGGGGGACGGTCTCCTCGGCCGAGAAGGGGCCGTAGCTGGCGTTGACCGCGGGCGCCGCCCGGGCCCGGTAGGCGAGGAAGGACTCCACGCGGGTCTGCAGGCTGGAGTTCCTGGTGACGTCCTGGTTGGCCTCCTTCAGGAAAAACGACTCGTCCGCGTCCGCGACGTGGAAGGTCGCGGGGAGGTACACGGGCAACGAGGAAAACTTCTGGAGGCTGTCCACGGCTCCACGGCCCTCCGTCCCTGTAACGAAGAACGCAAGTCAGGTCCCCACGGGGGAAAACATCAGCGCAATGCCGCCTCCCTCGCCAGCCCAGGCCTCGGCGCAGCGAGTCCTTCGGGACGGGAAGGGCAGAGAGGGAGGAGCCCGCTGGCCACTGGCCCGAGGTCCTGTGCTGACCGTCTGTCCCCCTGGAGGGCAGCCGTCACCTCCCCCCGTCTCCCTGGGCGTCGGGGCCTCTCCCCGATTCTTGCTGAAACGGGGGGGGCTCTGGCCCACATTCCCACTTCTAGAAGCTTCTCCTTCCCAAACAGACCGTTCGGAAGGTCAGCTCCCCTCGAAACACTGCCTGACCCCACGTATAAGAGAAATCGAAAGCGGTGAATTCACAGAGGTGGCGGGGAGGGTGGTGCTTGCCAGGAACTGGACGCGGGGGGGGG